AAGTAAAGATTTCTTTATATCGCACTATTTGATTGAAGTCGAATTTATACATGTTAATTATTAATTTAATCGTCATTGTTATATTTTGTATCAGAAATCTAAATGTGTCTTATTATTAATAAATAAAGTATCTAATTAAAAGATTTTGCTCGTTATAATTAAGTTATACTTTTACTTTGATACAGTCATCTGTTTTAAACTTGTGATATAAGTTAGGCGCAATTTGTCATATATAGTATTTACCAATTACGAGATCATTACTCGAGATCGGCCGTGATCTTACAACCGTCATCTTACTACCGGAGCGCAAACTTGTTTATCTTCCAGGAATTGTCCCAATTAATCTTAATCGTCAAGGATGAGAGTGAGACAAGAACGAGAATAAGCGACATTAGTCAGTTATCATTCGTCATTCGACAAAGTTGAATCTAAATTGAACAGCGGAATAAAGTTTTGCGAAATAAATAAATCATGACGCTCGTTCTAGAAGTGAGCAGGAGATAATTAGTAATTTTCTAATATCAAACAGAAATAATCTTAAAACATGTATAAGATATAACATAATATATGTAATTTGTATACCCAACGTTTCTATTATGACATCTCACGTCAAGTCTGCAAAGTTTCGTAATAGTATAGTATCTTTGAAAGCATAGATATTAGAAACAATATAATATTTCTATTTGATTGATGTTTTTTTTTGTTATGTGCCAAATTATTAGTACAAATTTATGTCTATATTTCCTTCATCATGATAGCAACAAGCGCTCTATGATTAAAATCAGCAAAAAATCAAAAATATATATAATGAAAAACTTATCTCACTCTAATTAAATTCAAAAAAATACGTATTCAAATAAATTCAAATCTTTTTTTATTCTGAATAGATTTCTGATTTGAAATTTTACTCCAATAGTTATCAATTTTTGTAAAATATTCAAATATATCTTTTTATAATTAAAATCTATTATTCTCTTATAACGTAGATATGCGGCAAGAGAATAGCTCATCAAATAATATGAAATATTAAATTGCAAAATGAAATTTTAAAAATTTTAAATAAATACTTCTTATAATTTTAGTAACAATGACGGAAGCCAGAAATTCGCATCGACCAGGAGTCAGCGGCCTTCAAATGCGAAAAGAACGGGACGCGTTACCGTTAGATTCATTTCATTTGCGTGACGTTTTTTATGACTAGTCTAATTTACGGGACGGTCGTGGATAAGGTCATTTTCGTTAACACAGGTAGAAAAGGAATCATACAGGTGACGCAATAATTCTTTCGACCTTGCTCCAAAAACATTTTCGCACCCTCGCTAGTGATATATACCTTTGTATGCTTGTCACGCTCCTTTAATTGGTCAAGATGCCGTTATACTTGGAGAAAAATAAAGATTTCAATAATTTTTACAGTTAAAGTCATTCTACAATATAGTAAATTTTATTCTTTTTTAAAAAAATAGCGAAAATTTATAACGCAAGAAACTAAATGTTTTAAAAAATTACAAATACTTGATTCATCAATCTGAAGGATATAACTTATTTTTAATTATGATATTTAAAATTTATATATCTTTTGTACAGTTAGATGCTGTCATTATATGCTATATTTAGAACACATGTAAGTTTTTGAATTTATTCAAATGCAAGCCAAAATTTGTACTTTTGATGCGTTTCACAATACAAGTCACGTGCGTGCCGCTATCCGACGGTAACTACAGGCGCGTAGGTAATAATACGCAACTCTATATGAAAGTTTCTATTACATTTAATACATTAAAAAATTTACATTGATCTTTTGTTAATCTATTTTACGGCAATTAAAAAATTGATTTAGCTTTCATTAATATTTTATTAATATTTCATTAATATATTATCTTATTTATATGTTTTCGAATTAGATCACACAAACTCTGTACAAATCTTTAATTTTATCACTATACAAATAGAGTAAATATTTGCAATTTATATTATGTAATATAAAATATCTTTTTTTAATAATATACAGTAATGTAATTTAGCCACTATATAATATTTAATTAAAAATAAAGTGGAAAGCCAAAGAAATCTTGAGAAATCAGTACATTTTCTAGTATTTAATTAATAATAACTATATAGAAAGTCTTTCAGGTTGTCAAAATTATTAATAAAAATTTCTCAATCATCGAATTAATAAATGATTTTATAAAAATTAATATATAAGAGTCAATATAATATAATGTAACATGTAATAATGAGAAGAACTATTCTCCTTAACAAAGCCTATCAAGCAATATATAACATGATTATGATTTTACTATATCAAACTAGCTCATATATCAATTTCAGATATACTCTATTATCAAATAATGACAAGAATAGCGCGTTTTCATTCATGCACAAACAATTCTAATATTTCTTATTTCCGTTTATCTTTAAAGGCACTACATTTTAATAAAAAATGAAAGAAGCATTGACTTCTGCCCAACTACGAATTACAGATAAGATACTTGGCCATGCGCCGTTCTTTTTTCGAGAATGATTCAAGACCTAGCGGGCCCTTTTATCATCTAAGGTTTGTTAAGTTTCGGGCGACACTTATCTTCAGGCCGCGGGCACTCGGCCGGCACTTTGGGGGTTGCGAAACCGAGAAAGGGCGCAGATCGCGGACCACGAGTGGAGACACGACAAAAGGGGGGCTTCTTCGGTCGAAGAGGGAGGGTCGCTAAGGTGTCGCGGAGTTAGAAGAGGGATGGAAGACCCAGGGGCGGGCAAGAACGCAAGAGGGCAAGAGGCATCGGATGACATCGCGACGCCCGAGGCTCCCTGAGCAAGTTCTCGAAAGTGTCGGCTAAACTGATATGAGAAATGGTCGCTTCGTGCTGCCCGTAGGGGATGAAGCAGCCCGGCTATACTTATTCGTTATACGGTCGGGAAACGCTCAAGCACCTCGAGTATTCGTAAACCCCTTCATCCGATACAAGGACAAGCGATCCGCAACTCGTATTTCTGTTGATATCAAGAAGAAATCCGCCATCTAGTGAATTCCGACTATGTGTCAACGCTTATTTTAAATATTATTATCAAATATTAAATTAAAATACAATCAACGCGCGTTACTCGAACGTTTGCATCATAAATATTTTCTTTTGTAATATATACAGTTTAGGAATCGATTGAATCAAATAATATTTTCAATAACGAATATTTTTTATCGTTATACATAACTTTAAAATAAAAGATACAACCGACGAAAAGGGAAATATTTCAATCTTTCAATATATAATCTACAACTAAAAAATGTTTAAAAAGAAAATTTTTTATACCAATTCTATATGGCATTATAAACCTTGTGATGTTTCATCTATTTAAACTTTATTTTGACTGGACTGAACGACTAGAACTATACACGCTATATGCATTTCAAATTGGAATCATTTGAATCCACGAAAGCTTCAAAAATTAAAGCACGAAACAAACGAATAAATACCATTCGATAACGAGGACATACGAAAATTTGATCATTGCATAAATTGCATTCTTACATTATTTTTTATATTGACAAAATCCATTTTACGTCTTGTTGACGTCCGTAAGTTTCTCAGTGTTGCCGAGTGATTCAACATAAATGTTTAATATATCCTTAACTGAATTTCAGTTTGATAACTTTCTGTAACTTTCTAGGGTGTTGCATAGATAGGCTTGGTAAGAGGAAGATGACGCACGAGAAAGTCTAAAGGATTGCACACTGGTGGGGGTAAAGGAACGCTTATCACCGCCTGCAGCCGCGCCGACCGTCGGATCCTTATTTATGGTCTCCGTCAGGCGTCGGTGCGGTACACACTATACCTATTTTACCCTCAGGTTCCTCGATACTAAACTCACTTTATTTTCGGACAGATAGCTGCTCCCCTTGAAAAATCGAAAACGTCTACTAAGTACAGTCTATTAAATACAGCGAATTGATAGGAAAATCAAAATAATTTTTCCAAAACTGTATCTTAATTTGAATTCTAATCAAAATTGGACAATATAAATTTCTTTGAACGAATAGAAAGATCTTTTAAAATTTAATACTTTCTTAATGTGTATACGTCGATTTAAATAAAGTTCTTTAGATACATAGCGAAAAAACTGAAGTAGCAAATTTGATTCAATGGTTATTAATCATCAGGCATATGGGCGCATTCTAACAATATATTGTACACTTAAATAAATACCTCTTGAAACATTATCTTCCTCGAATAATTCCTTTTTACTATATTCCCGTATTTATCTTTCACAACTACGTATTATCAACATAAAGAAAAAGAGGCGTAATTATATTTCATATCTCATTAATGTGTATATTATAAATACACCATTTAAGATATATATTGTTAAGAATAGCAGTGTGTGTGTGTGTGTGTGCGTGAGTGTGTGTGTGTGTGTGTGTGTGTGTGCGTGTGTGTGTGTGTGTGTGTGTGCCTAAACATATATCTAACAAGGTTAACCTATTCAAATGACGTGACAAATTCTTTGCATATATGTAACGTTTATACGAACTGTCGACTGCCAAAATAAAGAAAATAAACTACGTTTATCGCATTAATCGAACAGATTTTAGACGTAGTTTCTCGTATACGAGAGTATAATATGTTCATTGTAAATTATCTGCCAGAATAATTAATACAAAAATATATCATACGTTACAAGAACGAGCATTCATATTGTAGAATAATCATTGGTACGTGTAAATATACAGCAAGTTTCTAGTATCGCGATACAATTTAAAATCAACAGAAAATAACCTAAAGGAGTATCAAGAAAGAGTCACCCCGTTATATAGCAGCTCTAACTGACTGACGGAGCATGTGCACTGCGTAAGATTTTGGCGGGAGGGCGATCTCTATAATACAGCTTTGACAGCTGTAACTTCTGACATGTTTACGTGTGTCCGCGTCTTTAACGAATCGCGCAAACGAGGCAACGCCTTATCTTCGTGTGTAATAGCGTTAAATGATTATACAATGACATACCTGTAGCGGCTGATGCAAGATCAACGATAGCGAAGTCGTCTTTGCGGAAGGGTAGTCCGCGCACGTTCCTTACAGCTCATGATAGCGCCTATTCAAGACAGCTTTCCCAAATTTGTTGCTCCATCCGATTTTTGAGAGGTTTACTCCGTAGTCTTAGCACGCCTTCTCTCGCCGTCTCCTCGCTCGAGCGTGCGTTTCAATGGGCGGGCGGAGTCGCTGAAATCGTCGCCAGAATACGATCCCGTTGTCGTATCGCAGGTTACGAAACCGAAGTCCTCGTCCGATAGGGATCGTCCGATTGTATCCGCGGCCGAGAACGAAGGACGGAGAGACGTCCTCGCACAGGATGAAAAACCGCGGGTGTCGCGGTGGGTTTCATCCACCTCCTCGCGCGGAGGTTTCGCGGAAACTTCGCCTACGAGACTCGCCGATTCTCCGAGATCTCGGGGACGCTCTTTCACCGGCCAAAGCAAACTTGTTGGATGGCAATACGTGAGTTAAATGTTCACCGCGGATGGTTTACGGCCCGATAGTCCCCACCTCACGCCGCCACGCGGCGCTGCCTCCGTTTTCTCTCTCTCTCTGCCTCTCCTCGTGCTATCGTCCCACTACCGCCGCGCCGGCTAGAAAGCCCTCTCTCCCTCTCGTACTGTCAATCTCTCCTTCTCTCTCCCTCCTGTCTCTCGTATTCGTGTCGTCTCTTCCGCGTGCACGGTGGTGCTCCATCGTTGTGTCCCGCTCCGTTCCACGAGCGCTCTGGCTCTCTTCACGTTTCTACCCACACCAGGGCTGTCCTGCGGCCAGCGCAAAGGCGGGGTATTCGGACCGTGGAAGCGAGAGCGTATTAGCGCGAGGGAGAGAATTGACTTTAGAGGGAGACGGTGACATTGCAAGATACACGAAATGAACGGAGATGAGAGATCACACACACGCCCGCGATTGACTCTCTACACGTATAAGAGGCGGATTTATATGCAAGGGCGTTGTTAATGGCGGGAGGGAGAACGGCGAAGGGTGTACGTTCGCTGCCTCTTTCCTGCTTCGTTCCGTCTCTATTCGGCGCTTTTCTTCTCTTTCTCCCCCTCTTCCTCTTTCTCTCTTTCGCTTACATTATGTGTTACGTTTCCGCCTTCCTCTCTTCTCTTCTCTCCTCCACTTTTAACATCGCTTTCCTTTCACGATATATAACCGTCCTTGTTTCTCGCGAACAATATTTTCATCCCTCTTTGATATTGCGCTCGCGCTCTTCAAGGATAAGTTCGATGTCTCTGTCGCGCGCGCGCGCGTCCTTCCCCTCTTTGCCTTCTCTCCTTTTGATCGTTCTCTCCCTTTCTCCCTCCCTCTCTCTCTCTCTCTCTCTCTCCTTCCATCACTCTCCCTCTTTTCCCCTCTCCCTCTCCTCGCCTAACTTTGTACACTCACAAGGATGGCCACGATGACGTAACGAAACACGTGACTATCGTTTAGCCAATGGCGAATAGTTAGTTTAAATCTCGCGGGCACCAAAAACCCCACCTAGTGCTTCATCTTCAGGACTGGTTATCATCGAATGTACATGCAGGATTGAGCCATTACCTGGTGCTTGGCGTTATAGGTATAATTATATAGCGTCGCGATACACATCGAGTAATGGTGATTTGTAGCCGCTCCTCCGCACATATACATACTCGATTCTCTCTGTAACCACGTGGTAGACACGCTACATACGGTACGTTGACTGTTGCTATAGATTTTCAGACGTGACGAAGTATCGACGCGTACACTCGACAATATCTTAATGTATTTTGTTGTCATCGCGTTCGCTTTCTTGACTATTTATGAGCTTTCTTTTATAACTTATAGCGATTTAGTTTCGATCGTACGTTGGAAGGACATATTAAAGAACATATTAAAAAAAAAAAATACAACGAATCTATTTCTCTTTCGAAATTATATTTGCATAGGCTGAAGAAAGCCGTGGCAAGAAATGCCATGAATCAGTAAACGTGATGTCTACTGAAACCTCATTCGACGCAGCTTGAATAATTTAGAAAAGTCAATTCACACGACGTCCCATTAATTTGAATTCGCGCGAGAATAAACTCTGCGCTGCGAAATTGCGTTTCGCCATGCGGCCAATTCCGCTTCTGGCGAAATTTAAATCGAGCCCACCTAAACTCGGCACCGAATTTAGAGTTGGAAGCGCCCGGTGGACCATGCGTGCGCTGCAGTCACCGCCAGCGCATACATCATCCGATATTTATTTGTCTCTCTTCCTGAAGAATTTAAAGCGTGTGGAAGCTCCTACTTTTTTCGTCCGGCCGCAGCAATGAACAGTTTTGGAGAAGATACCGTTATTATGGCGTATGACGCAACGAATGGTATCGCGCGCGACAAGTCCGATATATTGAACAATAAATAATGCCGAGACATAAAATCGATGAATTGGAACCCGGGGCTCCTTCGCTTCGTGTGTTTGTTTTTGCTAGACAACATTAAATCCGCCAACCCTACAAATACTCAAAACAATAAAACAGTATATTTGTAAAAAAAAAGAAATATAAACGTGATAGCTAAGATATATTTTCTCCTAGAGATTATATCACCTTCGTAAATAGTGAAGAATGTAGATATTTCGCGAGCAACTTTACACGATATCACGGATTTTGTGAACAGTATACTATTAAAAATTCAATACATCAGAATTTCGTATAAGCAATTTTCATAAATTTTTAAAAATAATTGTTGAATTATTGACAATAAAAATACTATATATACATTAATAGACGTCCAACATTAATTCTTTATAATATTTTTTTTAATAATGATAAGAATAATGATAAAGATAAACATAGCTGCAGATAAACGTGATTAATATAATAGACCAGGCAGCCACGTGACTGTAGAGACGTTTCTGAAAGTTAAGATGGAGTTAGGAAATCCGAGTACGCATTTGCCGTTTGACGGAATGTTATTGCGGCCATAATCGCAGGCGCCAACAGGTGCGAGCCCGGCACAAGCCTATACGTGAGTGTATGTGTAAGCATGCAATACTACGTCTGTGAGTCGGTATACCTATATTATCGCCATAGGGCAATAAAGACCCCCATCCCTATAATCTGTGGCGGAAACAATAACTAAACAGGCAAGCAAGCCAGCCAACCGGCACTGATCCAGTACCAGTCATTTATAATGCTAATGGTCACAGAACTGTCAATATTTTGACGTTTCACCTCTTTAAAAAACAATTTATTCATTTTTTCCATGTTTTTGGGTCATTAGTAGTTATCTCTATTAAATTTATGTGATACTTTAAGTTGTAAAATTTAATAAAAATGTGCAAATCATATACATGCGAGAATATGTCAAAATTTCCATAGTTAACATTAATTACGTTTAGAAAATGATATAAAACACATGTGCATGTTCACGTGAGTCTACATCTCATCACGCATGTCATTTACACATGTAAATCTATCTCCATTTATACATATGATGTTACATATTGTGCTTGTTTCCATATCACGCATGCGTTTACATTACTAATAACTCGTTCCTGAATAGACATTAGTCTAAAGATAATAATTTTAATATTACAATCTGTTTATATATTACAAAAAATACCAAACGTCACTTTGTCTAATTCTAAGTTTAATCGCGTTTATGTTTATACATTTCGTATTTGGAAAACATTTTGATTATACAGAAAAACACATATAGAATTGCAATATTCATATATATCTATATATATGTTTATATTTACGATGACATCTGTATATATCTATACATGCCATAGAAAAGTATATATTTATCGCACGAGAGATTTCCACTGCACATATCTTCTACCTCGATCTACTTTCTTATCACAGGGAAATTGTCCCGCCCGTCGTGGCAAGACGCCCGTTTCCTTAGAAAGAAAGAGAAAAAAAAGGGAGTTAAGGGGGGAAGTCTACTGGGGAAGAAACGGTGACGAGCGGAGGGAGGATGTTCACTCCTCTAAGGAACAGTCGTACATTACTGCTCGCGAAAAAAGACCATCCATAGGACGTTTAATTTCCAAAGCCCTTCCGCCAGCTCCATTCACCGCGTCCCTGAATCCACGAGCATTGCATGAATTCCGTCATTCAGAGCCCAACCCCTCTCTCACCACTCTCTGTACCTCTTCAGACTTACGATTGCGAGGCACGACGACGAAAAGCGCCGTCGTGTGCAATCTTCCCTATGATACCACCTCTGACCCTCCGGCGTATAGAATTACAGGGGTAAAAAAAAGGGTTCGTTCTGATACGGCGAACGCTTATGCTTCCCCAATGTGTAATTATAAAAACATGATGCAATCTTTTGATAACGTTTAACGCGTCCGTGAAATATGTGGAAAACTTCTACGTGTAAACATCATTATTTTGATTTCGTTTAAAAGCACTTTTGCCAAAATTGTGAAGATTAAAAATTTTTATTCCTTTCGAATATTTTATTTGCACAAATGCTCTGCCATGCTCCTGAAAATTTATTTCAATATCGCCAAGAATTGCCTCAACAATATAAATTGTTAAATAAATCGCTGAACAGAAAATTTTCTTTATCTGTATTTTCTTTAGTGTTTCAACGTGTTAATAACATAAAAGAAAACGACAATAATTTCTTTTGTATTTGCATCATGTAAGCGTATTAAATCAATACTTTGAAGCAACAGGAAGCAGTAATACTTTTTGATTTTACATGTAGGTATTAAGATAAAAGTTGAGATTTTTTATCATAATTATAAAACGTTTTACATAAAATATATGTAGAATTAATGTACATATATAGGAAGAATGACTACAACAGCATATTATGACACACCTTTCGCGTCACACAAAGCTCGGAGTTAAATATCAACCGATACTAAAACATATTTACTTTCCGCACCATTAAACGCAGCGATTTTTACCGCAAGCAATCATGTAAGTTTTGAAAATCGTCGGGTTAACCTAACGGCGCTATAAAATCTGGATTCTGGCGGCACGCGCACTCATCCCCATTGCCACCCGCTCTATGGAATATAACCCTCCACGAGTCTCTCCACACCACGATAACCTAGCGACACTTCTTCCGCTACGTATATCCTCATTTGTCCGCTGTGTTTTACAACTCGAGTCTCGCTTCACGACCGCTAAACGTGACGGATGTCTAGATTCGCATTCTCCTACAAATCATGAGCTCGCAATTTATGCGTATTACACGAGAAACTCGTTATTTGGAGAAATATATTGAATTACGAATCGCACTTATATAATCTCACTTGTTCATTCCAAGACCAAATCGATAGAAAGGTGGAATATTATACGTATATCAATTGCTTTAATTGTAATAAAAATACAGAATTATAACTGTATATATTTTATGATCTTGAGATATTTACACAAATTAATTATTTAAAAAAAATTTTATCAGTATGTCGTAACATATTTTTGTTTCACAAAAAGAATATTCTTCAAAAAGAAAGAGAGAAAGAATACACGCGTTATCTCGTCGCATGTTTTTCATAAAAAAATTTATACTAGTTTTAATATTTTCAG